AGTTGTAGGAAAGTAGACGTTAAATAGAGGCTTATCAAATAGTGAATATTAATAGCAAAAAAGTCTATAATACTTGTTTCGTAGTTATACAAATAATACAATTTATCTGCCACAAAAAAGTTAACGCTTTTTGTAGCTATCTCATTCGGTGTCATCTTGAGCTGATATTTGTAACAGTGTTTTGTGTACACTTTTACTGGGGAAAAGAACTGTGCAACGTGTTATTTCTGATGCAACTCCACGGTGGCTTAGGATGCTGCAACGGTTGTGTTTCTACCGATCGAATAAGACCTGGACTAAGGAGTGCCAGGCTGTAGTTCAGTCCGGTGTGAAGCGTAATTTCATACTATGAATACTGCAATAATACGAGGTGTTAAAACCGGAATGAAAATGCCAGTAGGATAACGAACTTATTATACCCTGATCCCATTAAAAATGGGAAATCAGGGTATAATGGTTTTGTGCAAATGTATGTAACAGGCAGAAGGAGGCGTGGCAGACCCCATAAAGTATATATATTCTTGATCAGGACGACAAGCCGAGTCGATTGAGCCCTGTCCGTCTGTCTGTCCGTCCGTCTGTCCGTCTGTCCGTCTGTCCGTCTGTCCGTATGTGTGAACGCGTGGATCTCAGCATCTATAAGAGCTAGAGACTTGAAATTTTTTTTGTAGGTCCGTGTATAGCACGCGCAGGTCAAGTTTGTTTCAAATATTCGATAACTATTCGCATTTAATTGTTATCGAATAAAAACATTATTGAAATGCAGTAAATAAATTATATCTCGAAAGTCTTAAGAGCTAGAGCCTCCAAATTTTGTATTTAGTCTTATGTATATTTTATGCAATTTTGATTTTTGTTGGATTTTGGATACCGGCTCCAAATTCCCCCAAATTCTTAGAATTTAAGTTTAGTTGGAGCTAGGGCCATTATGTGAAGGCGTTTGCATCTCAACCAAGCCAATAGGATATGTAGATCATATGCTGAAAGTTTCATTAAAATCCATTAAGTAAAACAGAAGTTATTAAACAAAACGTTTGGCCAATTTGCAAAAGCACATGTCAGCAGCGCCACGCGCACGCATTTTTCCTATGCGTGTGCACACATACATTCAAATGCGTGCATTCTTTTCTATTCCAAGAATTGAAATTGCGATTGAATTGTGCTGAATTATTAGCTGCTACTTATGTTCAAATTTGCAACAACTCGCGAAAGAAGGGCAGTGGCTGCGTTGGTATAGGCGCCGCTCGTATGCAGCTTGGTCCGGGTTCGAGACCAGAGGAGATGAAATGTTTTTTATTGTTTTATTTTTTTTTTTTAGTTATGAAGTGGCGGTGTTGGTAGAGTTTGTGCACGTTGCGCAAATAATCCGGGTTCGAATCCTGGTCTCGCAATGTCGATTTTTATTTGTTTTCTTTTTTTTTTAATTCTCGATACAAACTACGGAAAATATTACAAAACTCAAAGGACTAGGATCAGGGTATCTCCTAGTCGGGCACCCCGAGTAGAGCTTTCTTACTTGTTTTTATTATCTTAATATTAAAGAAAATGCGTGGCGATGGCTGGCACGCAAAGCGTGTGAATCCGGAAGGCAATAGACTAATGAATTGGAACTTAAAAAGTACCTAGAAGACTATTCAGTTAATTACATAAAAATATTACCTAATTTGTAGCCAATAGGAATGTACGAGGTCATACATAATCAAGGTGGCACAACACATTACTTTTTATACTCTGTTAAATGATATATGATTGCAATCAATTGTCGCAAAAACTAAAGTAAATTAATTTTGTTAAATTCTTTAAAACTAGTTATGATTATTTTCTGTAATGTTAAGAGCCGAACCATCACTTATTCTTGTGGGAAATTCTATTAACTTTTATTGAAGAAAGACTAATTTGACTTTCAGCGCAGGCAGCTTGAGGTGTGCTAATCGCAAAAACAAATTTGCGTGCCTAAATCCTTTAAATGTCAGATAGCAGCAACAACTAAAATTGAAACTGTTTCTGTTTTTGTTTTCTACTATTTCGATCGCTGTTTTGCCATGCTGTGCGTCTGCTGGAGCTGTTGCTGTTGCTGTTGCTGGCTTGATTGCCATTCGATTGACCTCGTTGCGCATGCGTGCGCATGTTTCACGCTACACTAAAACTTTTCCACAAAAAAAAAAAAAATCAAAAAGAAGAAGCAGAAAAGGAGGCAAAAAATCGTGCCGTTGATGAGTAAGCAACAGGCAAAATGTCTCTAAGCCGATTGTTAGCCAAGTCAATCACATAGGCGGCAGCTAGTCGTTCATCGTAGTCTTTCGTCGTTCGTCGTTCGTCTCTCGTCTGGCGTCTGTCGGATCCATCTGTCAATAATAATTTGGCTTTGATTTTTACTTAATTGTGATTTAACGCGCTACGCAACAGCAAATTGCACTTTATTCGCTTTTGTTCAAGCATATTGACAAATAGCTCCTAACCCATTTAACGATTAAAAAATATCAAGAAATTGATAAATCCATACAGATTGCAAAAGTCGATCATCGGGCCATCAGCTGAGCGTGCACTATTAGCCAGAATCGAATCTGTATAGAAATACACGTATTGAAGTGCTTCAATTTCTGTTGCAGCTACCGTTGTTGTTGTTGTTGTTGTTGTTGTTGTTGTTATTATTGTTGGCGGCGCTGGGGCAACCGTAGTAGTTGTGCTACAAATCGGACGTAAAATTTCATGGGCCTGCTATTGAATTAAAAACGAGTTTGCTTCATGTTGTTGTTACTGTTGCTGCTGTTGCAGTAATGGCCGCCTTTAAACGCAGACAGCGCCAAGCCCCAGCACAACGTGCCGCAGCAATAACAACATAACAAACGAATACATATCCAACAGACAACAGTCACTTTTTAGTTGTATAGCTGCGATTGCTGTTGCTGTTGCTGTTGCTGTTGTCGTTATTGTGGTCGTACAGCCGAGCTATTGTTTGTTTCATTTTGTTGTCATTTTCGCAAGCGAGTTTGCAGTCCGTGCAAATACATTAATATAAATGCATATATGTATTAATCTACGTATGTGTATGCGTTGATACTCACATATTTAGGTGAATACCAACTTAAAAAATTCGGCTTACGATGCCATACGGAACACCCCAACACCACACTCAAACCATTCATATAGCCAGATAGAAAGATGAATATACATATAGCAATAGAAGTCTGCTGAAACAAAGTAATAAGATGAAACAGTTTGAATCGCAAATTTGTGGTATATAATATATATGATATATTGCCAAATATATCTAACTCTTACTTGTAATTTAATATGCGAAAGCAAATGTTTTTTCTTTTGTTGTTAATGTCAAATGCAATTTGTAGTCTCTATATGGTCTCTACAAGCCAACTCCTTTTTATTTGGCAAACGAATTGATGCGTGTGTGTGAAAGCTTTATAATAAACCGAAATCGAGCCTAAAAATCGCCCACGCAAAGCGTTGATTCAGCGTTGCCCAACGATGACGACTGTGTAAAAGGGCAAATTGTTGCAAGCTGCAAGCTGTGGGGTAAACCGTTTGGTATCCTGATATCGGATAACTAACGTTAATTCTGTACAGCTAGTAAGAAAACGTCAATAACCAAAACGGAAATAGGCAAAAGGCAAAATAAAAGAAGTACAACGTAAACGTAAACGTAAACAACAACAACAAGAAAAACAATAACAAAAACAATATGAGTGCCAACTGTCGCAAGTGCAAATGGCTTTTCTGGCCAGAGAAGACTGCAGAGGGACTGCGACGGGCCGAGACTAGAGAGCGAGATCGAGAGTGTTATGGGAGAGGGCTTGAGCGGTAGACGAATTGAACGAAGTTCGTAGTCACAGATTACAAAAACAACAAGAAGAACGTTCAGTAAGTAACTCTAAGTGAGTCGAACGACAGCAAAGCTTTCCGAACCCAAAAGCTCGCCGTCTTCAAGTCGCACTCGCAAACACACTCGTCGTTGGCTGCTCGACGATCAGTTCAAGTTTGTCCGTCGAGCTATGAAGTGCAGAACAAAAGGCGCGGGCAGAGACAGCGACAGAGACAGAGACAAAGCTCGAGTACAACTAAAAAAACTGAATATGAAGCAGAAGCAAGAGCTGCAATACCAATAGAACTAAAGCTACAATCGTCGTACTCGTCGTATAGTCTGTCGTCCTCGGTCGTCGTATCGGTAGCCAGAGCTGAAAGCGAAACTGGCGCTCAAGTTCAGCGAGCGAATCGACGTCGTCGCCGCCTTCGCTGTCGTCGCCTCTGTCGATTTCTATGCAAATTATTTCTCAGAACACATATAAAAAGCGTGCTATTTATATTTCGCAAATGTCGACTTGAAGCGCCGCCGTTGCCGTTGCCGTTGCCATTGCCGTTGCTGCAGCAGTGGCAGAGACTGTGACGAAAACGCAGATTGGAACGGGAACGGGAACGTGAACGTAGACCTGGATTGTAACCCGAGACCAACTCGTCAAGTCGCGCAACACGACAAACGCAGATCGTATCTGTATCTATAGCAGCGACAGTAACTGTTTCTGTATGTGTCAGTGTGTGTGTGTTTGGGTATCTGTGTATCTGTAGCGACTGAGCGCAAAAAGTAATCATAAACTAAAGCAACAATAAAGCGAGCGAAAACGTAAACGGAAAAAGTAAGCTAAAAGTCACTTACAAAAATCAAAAGAAAATAAAGAAAGAAAGAAAGAAAAAAATCACTGTGCTTTCCATCGATCGACAATCGGCAATCGACAGCAGATAAACGTTCGCTCGTTAGCAATATTATATATAACTCCAGCTGCTGCCTGTTCGGTTGTGGGTGAAATATCCATTGGCATTGTGATTACTGTTATTGTTGAGACAGTGGGCAGGACATCAAGTGAAACTGAAAAAGATCTCGATACAGAATTTCGAAGTGTGATTATATATAGATATATTTTTTTTATATATTTATATATATATATGTGTGTGTATATGTATTTAAATATATAGATAAATATAAATATATAAATATATACTAACCGATAACTATGGAATATCTTTGTATATGGAACGCGTTTGAGCAGGACTCATCATTGTTCAATCATATCAAGGAAATCGGACGGCTGGCAGCTGCTGCCGCTGTGTCGCAACAGCCTTCCTTAGGTGGCGCCTCGGCGTCGGCCAGTGCTTCGTCCACATCTGCGGCCAGCTCCACGGCCAGCTCGCCCAGAGCTGTGAGCAAGGAACCACCGGCTGCCGTTACCTCTGCCTTCTCATCGACACGGCACTTTCCGGCCTCGTTGGCGCACGTAGCAGCGCTTGCGGCCACGCAACAGCAGCTGCAACAGAGAATTACTGCGGCTGCCTATCAGCAGGGCCAGGCGGAGTTGCCGGCGCAGTCGCCGATGTTTATAAATCAACATCAGCTGCCAGGAGCTGCTCATCAGCAACAGTCGGGAACGGGCGTCGGCCTGCAGCAGCTACATCAGAACAATTCCAACATGGCCAACAGCCTGTTGTGGCAACCGTGGCGGGATCTGCAGCAAGCAGCCGCCATGCATCACCAGCTCTACAAACAGCAGCAGCAACAGCAACAACAGTTGTTCAAAGGTTCGTGTTTCATGGGGAAATATTGAATAAGAAATTTTGAAATTAAAGAATACGAAAAATATAACCGAGATGACCTCCAGCAACGTTTGCTTAAAACCGAATTTGTCACATACAAGTTTCTCTTGAAATACGAGACACAGGGGCAAGGAAGACTGACAGAAAGAGAGTGAGAGAAACAGAAGAAATAGTGAGTAGCATAAAAAATCTAAACATAAAGCACGAACCAAGGTAGAACTCGGATATCGCTGTTGCTACTGGTGACTCGCCCTTTCCACGAGCTCCTCACGTGAAGACAGCACACTCGTTCACGTTGAGATCGGGCTGTCATTCAAAGATTTCGGCTACGTGCCAATTTTAATGAATGGGATATTGGGTATATACATATATATCTATAGATATATATATATATAGTTTTTTAATCGGCTGCGAGTCAAGCGTGGATAGGACGTGTTTCTTGTGTGTCAAATCATTTCTTTGGTGACGATGTAAAAATGTGTCAGTTGCGCAAACACTGATGACGTTGCTGCGGGCCATTTCATTAGCGCGAAATTGGTAATGAAATTGGAAACAGTTTTACTACACTTGCTAAGACTGACATTGGGCGCTGGCCCGTTCGATTGGCTCTGTTGTGCAGTGTGCTTGTGTCGTCGACGTCGACGTCGTCGGCGTCATCGTCCCCGGCTCCGCCATGCGCTGCGCTGCACTGAACTGCACTGCACTTAATTGCTCACATTGCACAAATCACACAAATGCTTTCAATTACTAACAAACACAATTGCTACAACGAATGCGGCGCTCACGACCGCCTGGACAAACAGAAAGTCAACGTTAAATACGACCCAACTGTGGCAGCAGTGGATTTACCCAATTCTGTTTTCCTTTAGTTTTAAAATGCTTTAGAAGGCATTTCTAAATTGTGTCACACATTGTGCAATGCACACAAGTCGAGTGTAAGGGCTTGCGATCGTACAACACGTTGTTGATATAGTTGTGTTCATCTGCATTTGTACAATCAAATTAAAATTCAAGTTCTCTTTCTGGAATACAGTATGTGAGGCAATGGCGGCGAGTTCGGATTTTGTATACTCTCTTTTCTTGCATAAAATATAAGTAGGACTCTTATATACTCTCTTTACTTGCATAAAAGATAAGTAGGATTCCTACATTTATCCTAGGTAGATCTATCTGTGGTTGAGGTGACTCTTGGACAAATTTTAAGATTTTCTTCAAGAATATATAGCTTTATTTTTTCGATTTGCCATGCCCCATTATGCGTGTCTAAATCTCAATCAGAGATTTACAGTAACATAAATGTCAAATTTTGAAGCTCTACCTAAAAATCTTTTGAAGTAATAGTTTCTTCCAATTGGCATATATACTATATATGGATATGTACTGTACATAAACGTATGTACTTAGTTTAGTGGTTGTTAACATGAGTATATATTCTAAACTCCAAGTCAAGATTTGCCACATCCCTAGTCGGGTAAGACATCAATTTTTATCGCTCTTTAAAGGATCTCTACAGTAACATCACTTGCCTAGCTTTGGGGTCCTAGCCCTAGCCTTTTGAAGATACAGCATACCTGCTTTGGGTGTTAATATATAACTATATAGTTTAGTTTACGAGATTGTCTATATATGTATATATTTGATATTTAAAGGTTCAAGCATTCATAACGTTTTAACCGTGAAATCGTCGACAAACGGACATTTAGTAAGACGAGCATTGCAGAAACCGAAAATGATTTTCTCGCTTAGTAAACCCGTGTAAAAATTGTATTGTCTCTGAAAAGGTCTTTACTAAAAATATTATTTAAGAACTTTACTAAGTTAAGCTTGTAAGAGATAAGTCTGAACGCGATGTCATCAACATATCATTTAACTTTATATATATCTATATATGACTGTGGTAGATCGCTAAAAACTAACTATAGGAACAAACGTTCTTGCCTTGATGATTTTCTAAAGCACATGGACAAATACTTTTTAGCCATTTATGAATGGGAAGGGTATTTGATATTCGGCGAGCGAAAGATGCACGTTCTTGTTTTTTTTTTTAATTTGTTGACATATTAAAACCAGATTTACAATCAAGTCGGGCACGAGCATGACTCACAAGCCGGCGAAAAAATAATAAAAATAATAAGAAACGCCTGCGACGACGACACCGACGGCGACAGCGACGGCGACGGCGACAACGACAACAACAGCAACAGCAACAGCAATAACAAATGCAGCAACAACAATTACAAAAACGTGTTTGCATAAGCCACAAATGTTATTTTTCTATTTGCTGTTTGGAGTGCGAGAGTAGACCACAACGACTTTTCGACTGGTTGCGATTCTCGATAGGATGTGCTCAGCGTGCGGATTGTTTGGGTGATTAAGCAGAAGTTTAGCCATGAGAGTTTCAGTTTGTATCGGGCACTTCTCTGTCTTCCAATTAGCTATAGCTAGGGTCGACGTATTTATTTTGCTTCTGTGTATTGTGTTTTATTCAATATAAACAGCAACACGAACTGACAAACAAACAGAGAAACAACAGCTACAACATCATGTTTGCAAGTGCAACATGCAACAACAAATACTGCTGCACACAGAATACTAAAAGAAACAACAGACCCAAATGATGATTCCCCACTGTAAAAACCGGACAAAGTTGTCTTTGAGCGACGACCGGAAATGTGCAATAAAATTTGAATGTTTCTTTATTATCAACATCCCCATCATCTTCCTCTGCAACCAGAAGCAAGTCTCACTGCTTTTGTTGTTGGTGTTGTTATTCTTGTCCGTCTGAGTTTTTGTATGTTTTGTTTTCGGTCCACTCCATGAAGCTCCGGAGAGCAACCAGTTTGTGGTACCTTTAGTGACGCAGGCACAGAAAATAATAATAAATTGCAGCCAGTGGTGACGTTGCCAAAAAAAGGACCACAACAACTGGTTCCGCCACAGCAACAGTCAGAACGAAATCCACATCCACTTCCACAGCCACAGCCACAGCCGCCTCCACCAACGCCACAAACTCCTTCATTCATACATTCATTCATGCGCTCGATGCCTGGGCCAAGAGGAGAGCGCAAGGCAGGCACCTCTGCTCGGAACATGCAGAAGTCGTCGGACGGGTTCGCCTGCCCCTTATTTTTTGGGATTTAAGGTGCGCCTTCGAGTCGCCTGTTGTACGAAGCTTTTTAACTTATTTCTTTTACTTTGGTTTACTGAGAAACAGCAAGCACATCAGGAACAGAAATTTCATTGTATGTCATTTGGATGAAGTACGTACGGTAAGGTGAGGGTATCTAGTTTTCGGTAGTTGTGCCAATCTGGTCGATGCCCACGCACCACCTTCCCACGCAAAAACTCGAACAGTATCCATTTGGGATGCTAACCACGTTTGTCCAGACGCGGAGACCAAGCGTCTTGTTCAGTGTAAGCGCTTTACAGTCGCATACACTGACACGTTCCCCGTGATCGTAGAAAAACTAGTTTTGTTAACCAACTTTTGTGACTCGGAGTTTCGATTTTTTTATTTCTGTTTTGTGTTGTATTCGCTATTGTTGTTGTTGTTGTTGTTGTTGTTGAGGTTTGGCTTTTATGCATAACTTTTGTTGTGCTCACCTCCTGAGCGGGCTTGAAATCGAGTCAGAGTCTATTGCTTAAGCTTAAGCTGTATGGGCACTCGAAAGCTCTGTTCGGGTTTTGAGCGAAAACTCATTGAAAAAAAACCAAATGAAAGACTTAGGCAACAAACTGCAAACTGCAAAGCCGGCAGAACCAACTCCATGTGATTCATTACACCCACATCAAATTCAAAATTCAAGACAGCAAAACAGAGATCCGAAAGCCCCCAATTAACCAAAACAAAGGATCAGAGCAAGATCCGCAGATATTCATGTAAAATTAGCTATATTCATTTGCCTGACGAAGAATCTATGCCAATATTATTCTTATTCCTGTTTCTTAATTGTTACAGACACACGACTGACATCAAAAGAGCTTCCAACCAACAAGTGGCGTCGCGAGCGTCGCCAACGAGCCGCTGCCGCCGAATATCAAGTTCATGATTCAAACAGTGACAGAGAAAGGGAGAGGGAACCTGACATGGACAGCCCCATTGATATGTCCGTGACGTCGAACACTGTGAAGCATCAACGGGCTTCACCACCTCCGCCGTACCGTGAGCCACTGGGTGGTGGTGTAAACAGCCACTGTTACGCAGCTAGCCGGCCGAGCGTTATCACCCAAGCACCGCCTAAGCGGGAGCAGCCGAAGCATGCGCACCACAGCCAGCACCACCACCATCACTCGCACTCCAATCACGAGCATGACCATCGCAGTAGAGGTAGATTGCAAACGATTCTGATTCCGTTGTGATTTTATATTTAATGTACGTTTCATGATCGTTTTTGCAGAGTCCGATTCTATTTGTGACATCGACGAGCATTTCCGGCGTTCTTTGGGACCGGGGTATGCAGCGCTGTTGAAATCGCCGACTTCCAGCTCGCCTACACCGTCGCCACAGCCACAACAAGCACAGGCGCAGACTCAGTTGCAGTCGGTGGTTGGGAACGGAACATCAATGCAGCAGGTCTCGCCACAAGCCTATCGGCAACAACCAACAACAACAACTTACGAAAATCAGTCGCAATTGCCGCTGTCACTGCCGCTGTCTAAGCTGGGCCTGCCCATCGTGCACTCACCCACGTTGCAGTCGGCACCGATATCGCCACAGCACGAATTGCCGCCGCCCCAGAAAGAACCATTGTCCCTGTCGCCGCCACCCGTTCGAAGTGCTTCCGCTTTGTCGTGCTCACCGCCACCGCTGGTTGGCGTCAGCCAAATATTAGATGCGCCGGTAACCAAGAGAGAAAAAGCTTTAGACACACCTCATCATACTCCACCCAGATGTAATACACCTCCGCCAGCATATGCCAGCGTAATGGTATCGACGCCCACAATGCCAGCTATAATACGTGTGAAAGCCGAACCGGGATTAGCCGCTGCTTCATCGACGCATACGCCACCCGCTTCTCCTACCTCATCCACAAACATTTCGATATTCACCAAGACTGAGGCCTCTGTGGACGATCACTTTGCTAAGGCACTGGGCGACACTTGGAAAAAGTTGCAGGCCCACAAGGAGTGAAGACCATCTCAAATGCTGTTCTTACTATAAACTACACAGTTGATTTTTAAAGATCTCATGACGACGATGTGAAAATTTTTCAAATGCGAGTGTATTACAAGTTTCTTATTATGATTTTATTATTGAATATATATAGATATGGAAAAGCGTATACGTACATGTGACAAAATTGGTATTCTTAATACATACAGAGTTGCATAGATAGACTAATCCTTAATATGTATTAAAATTTGTGCATACATATAATCATACTATTTACGAATGTATGTTTATTTCATAATTCTAAATTATGAAGTTATTGTAAGTTTATATTTATCCAAATGAATCCTATACAACTTAAATCAATCGAGTGGCAAATACACAGTACTCTATATAAGCACTCTATTTATTGTTTAAGTGACTTTTACAATAAACATTAAAAAAAAGTAATTTGTGTTATATATTGATTTTACTTTTTTGAAATTACAAATCCCGCTTGCATGCTTTCTAAATTGTTTGCCATTTCGTACTTTCTGGCAACCCTGGCGCGTACATAACGACCTACTCAACTATCGTATCAAATAATTGCTTGCCAGTGTTACTCAACCTAAAAGATAAACAATAAAAATTATGTTGCAAGATTGATAAGTATTAATAAGAATAATTATTTTTATTATTGCATTAGTATAATTTATAGATAATTAAGCAATTAAAAAATTTGTTAGGTTAGTCTTTTTTCAATTTTAATTCAAAATTAGTGTCATCATTCTAAGCCTAAATTGTGCATTTATCGATATCGATAACACAACTATTGGCTGCCAGTGTGTACGCGTATTCGGCGAGAACGTACCATTGCAAAACTAAACTTTCTGCATAAAGCATTAAAAAAAACATTAAACAAATGAGAAACATTACAATTAAGGCACTTAACGAAGAGTTTAAACAAGAAACGTGTGCTTACCTTACGTTAAAAGCTTGCAGCTTGTGTGTTGTGTGTGTGTAAAAAGCCAAAAGACCTAAGGCGAAAGAGGGGCGAAGACGAAGAGAAAATGTCACGCAAAGCAGCAGCCACAGAAAAAGAGTGAAGAAATTACATTTGGGGGAAGGAAAAGAGTATTAAAACTTAATAACAACAATATTCAAAGACTACTGTACAAAAAGGCGCCATTTCCAATGGCAATGCTTCCCTCGCAAAAGAAATTGTTGTGAAAAAGGAATCGAAATATAAAATAACGAGTTGTTGTTGTTGTTGTTCAGTATTTGTTACTCGACTGGCAGACACCTGCGAGCGCAAGGAGGAGCGATGAAAACAACTGAACTGGTCCTGGGGAGGCGCCTAATTACTGTTCTCGTACAGTTCTTGCTCCTTGATTTGAATGTCGTCGTCGTTGGTAATTGAATTGAAACTCGGCTGTGCTACTGGAACTGGAACTAAAACTGGGACTGGGACTGCAACAACGACTTGCACTCCTCACTGGCACAATGCAAAGCTTGGACTCCTCATGCCAAGAAGCAGATGTGAGTATCAATAATCATAATTTCGAATGATAAAAATATATCTCAAATTCTTTTTATAATATGCAGTTTATTATAAATGACACGCTTAAGAAGCTAAAAGGCGATAACCCACTGAATGCGAGCTCTCAGGGCCTGCCGCATGCCGTTGGCTCTGCTGTTCAACAGCAATTTGTCTACCAAGCGTCGCAGAACTCACAAGGCTCGCCACAGCCACAGAATCAGCAACATCAGCCGCAGCCATACCATCAGCTGCATACGGTGCTGCAGGCCACATGCTCACCCACGCTTGCCATCAACAACAGCCAGCAGCAGCAACAACAACAACAACAATTGCCAGCTGCTCCTGTCACTGTCAGCGTACGATCCTTGCTACAGGCGATACCTCAAATACCTGCGCAACCGCCAATCTGCATATTCGATGACGACGAATCGCCTACTGAGCTCCCGGCTAGTGGCAACATTGTCATACTCACGGAGCAGCCATCTGCTTCAACTACATCAGCGACAGGGCTGCCTTGTACTGGGATTGCGATAGCGCCTTCTCCTTCTTCGTGCTCCTCATCAACAACAACGCTGTCCAATTTGAATTCGATCACATCGCCTTCACCGGTAGTTCCTGACCTGTTGTTATCCACGCCACCGGGTGTCAATTCCAGCTTAAATAGCAATAATACCACCGCCACAACGTCACATATTTTTCAGCACCTGCAACAGCAACAACAGCAACATCAATCTTATAGCAACGTCAAGAAAGTTGATAAACGGCCCGCCCAAAGCATCTCAAATGCTTCTGGCATTACCAGCAGTCATAATCAACACCATCATCATCACCTGCACATCCATCAGTCTCAATCGCACAACCACCAAAATGTACCGTCATCGCCCACATCGTCGCCTAGTAAACGATCGAAAAGCAGCAGTAGCACCAACAGTAATAGCAAGGATTGCAGTTACTCTAGTCGCAGCACAGCTCTGACGTCTGCATCGCCCCGTGCTGGCGCCGGAACTGGCTTCAACTCTAATACTAATAACAATGCCAGTAGCACCTTCTCATCTAGTTCACTGAACAACAAACGAGAAACGACCCCGAAGTTCTTTAATATCCACGACAAAATCAAGGAGCTGTATCTGCAATTGCTAAGTAACGATTTAAACCATTTTACGGAAACTGGGGTAAGATTACACTCAACTAATTGCAACATTTAATTCATTCACTTATGTTATTTATCATGTGCAGCTGAAGCAGCGCAGTCGCTCCTTCATTCTGGATCGACTTGTGGAGTGCGAGCGGTTAAACACCATTGTTGTCAATTTGTATCCGGGTAATAAAGGCTACTCCCTGGCACTTCACTACGATGAGCAAGTAATGCTTAATCCGCTTACAAATGAATGGATCGTCGCGGATCCCTCTCCCATCCATGGAAACCACAGTAACGAGAATTCGGCTAGCACCGCTAGTCGGAACAAAGCTCACGCCGATAGCGACGCTACAAGCAACCTTTTCAGGATGAAGTCGAGACTGACCGAAAGCGATGCATCTTCAGGAGACACAGCATCAGCGCCTGTATCATCTGGCTATGGCCTGGTTGAGGTTCTGCGCTGGCCCTATGAAAACGATTTGCTGCTGCAGTGCATTGATCGCGAACTCCTGCCTGAATTCCTCATGGATCTGCTGAGCGCCGAAACAGTCAGCCTGAGCTCCCCACAAGATGGAAGCGAGGGGTCGCGCGTGTATGCCAAGCCTAGCGTCTTTTATGCTGGCTGCGTTATTGCGCAAATACGCGATTTCCGTCAAACGTTTGCCACCTCAACAAATATCTGTGATATGAAGCACATACTGCTGCGGCCCAGCAATGCGACTCTGTTTGCGGACGTGCAACAACTGGGCAGTTCGTTGGGCTGGGCCGGCTCAACGCCGGAAGACCGACTAACGATCGAAAGCCAACTGGTGCTGGCCACGGCCGAGCCACTGTGTCTGGAGCCAGACCCAAGTATAGGTCGACAGTCCATCAATGCGCAGCATGAGCGTCAGCGCTTCAACTCGCACGAAATGCGCCGCCAGATGAAAAAGTTTACCCAGGTGGCCATCAATCGCAAGCGCAAGCTAGATCAGTTCACGCATCATCAAGGCCTCGAGCTCTGTGACTATCTCACACGCCTGCGTCAGCGTCCGCGTACCTCTAGCAACAGCACAGCGAACGCAACCCCCGCGACAGCTCCCAGTAACAATCCGTTGGTGGGTGCTATGCTCTCTTCATTCACCTCAAAGGTGCCCCGGCGACCGCATGAAGTCATCAGACCTATAAGACCACCCACCCTCGACTACCCGGCCAAGCTAAAGGTGCCCGAACACGTGATAAGTGTGGAGAAGTATGCTAAGACTTTCGAGCCACTAAATGAATTCAGCGATGCTTGCAAGGAAGGATGTCAGGCCAACTGCCGACACAACTTTCAGCCACAGCTCATTGAGGAATATGTGCTGGAGACGGAACGCGAAGCGAGTGAGGGCCGGCGTGCTCTGTACCACATCAAACTCTCTATTTTCCAGCGTCCCTCCGATGCAGAATATCTCGGTGAGTTGTACGTGGACCGTGACTACCGCGACGGTGAGCGCAATGGAGAATCGTGTCGATTTGCTTTGGGTACTCGTGTCCATGCGAATCGGTATATTCAACAATTCCGGGAGATATTTACTGAAGAGGGACGCAAGGCTGTTAAGATCACGCACCTGATACCTGGACATGTGCCAATTGTTACCCACACTGGACTTACAAATGAACAGCGATTGCTATTGCAACAACAGCAACAACAACAACAACAACAGCAGCAGCAGCAGCAGCAGCAGCAACAACAACAGCAGCAGCAGCAGCAACAACAACAACAGCAACGACAGTTTACTCAGCAACCGCAACAGCTACCCGCTACGGTGCATCATGTAGCACAAGCACATCCAAGCGTTACTCTCTCTCGGCAACCAGCAATTGTTACGAAGGTGTCGAGTCTGCAACAAACTGTTCGGCAGCAACAGCACGCGCTTGCCACTACTCAATTTAATGTAGATGGAACATTGCAAATCCATCAGCAGCAGCAGCAGCAGCAGACTCAACTTGGCAGTGGTAACAACAGCATTTTACAGCAGCCAACGCAACAGCAGCAACAGCAACAGCAACACCCGCATATACAGCTTCTTACAACTAGCGGCAACGCATCCAGCAGTACTACACATCAAGTGAGCCTGGGTAACGGGTCGCTGGTGCTGCTACAACAACAACAGCCGCATCAGCAGCAACAGTTAAATACCACAATGCAGCACTCAGGCATCACTATTCATCCAGCTAACATGCAACATCAAAAGACGACTCCAGCTCAGTTGAACACGGCAACAGGTGCCAATTCCGCATTACGTGCTCAGCTCAACTCCAACGTGCCAATTCTCGTAAGTATATAAGGAGTGAAGATTGAAAAACTTTTGCTAAGTTGGTTCAACTGTTGTCAGCTAATAGTGATTCATAACACCAAATCTTCAAAGATATGAAATTCATAAATACATTTCACATAAATACATAAATGTATACATATTTTACTTGATCTGCAATAGAGAGTGTATAAATGATTTGAGTTTCATACTAATCATATTAATATAAATTAGTCTACCTTTAATTCCAATTCCAATTCCCCAATTCCAATTTCCAACAAGCTTCATATTTAAATCTTTTTAACAATTTTATTATTATTGCTTTTAGCAATCGCAGCTGAAGGCTTCGTCGATTGTTACCACACATCAACTGCTACAGAAGCAACAGCACCAGCAGCAGCAACAACAACAACAAATAACTGCCACAAACAACAATACAATCAACAACAACAATAATAACAACAACACGGCCATGCATCCAAATCCTGCGATAAATGCCATAGTCACCAGCATCATGAACTCTGCTAACCAATACCAACAGCAGCAGCAGCAACACCATCAACAACAAGAACAGCAACAGCACTGTGAGTCATTCAGTTGCAATAAAATAAACAAATAAAATATATTTATATATTTTGTTCTATTTGTAACCTTTAGCCAGCGGCACGCCCACTACCAACAGCAACTCTGCCCCAATCATGAACATAAGTAGCAACAGTAGCACAAGTCCTGCAACGCCTTTAAAGAACTCGAGCAATGCATCTATACTAAATTTGCTCAATAGTGCTCCAGCGGCTATGACCAGCACTCCAGTGGCTAGTGGCACGTTCACTACGTCGTCGACGGGTCAGCAGCAAACGTTGACATTGGTGCAGCATCAGCAACAACAACAGCAATCGGTTCCCGCCAGTGTGGATGCAACAACAGCCACCTATGTGCAGACGACTCGCGGAACACCCACGCTTATGAATGCTCAACGCAAACAACCATCAAGTGAGGTTTTGCAGAGCCTTTTGAATTCGAACCGTAAAATTAACATAGTTGGTGCGAGTAGTGGAACAACGTTTCGAACTAACTCAGCGGGTAATCTTATAGCCGTCAATCTTAATCAGGCGCAAGGTCAAGGGGCACAGCAGGGGGGTGATGGCAGTCAGGCAGTGCGTGTGTCCATGTCTGCGCTTGCGTCCCAGCTGGCATCGCCTCCGGCAGTGATGACTAATCCCCCCACTGGGTATGGCGCTTACACCGTCAGCACAGGCGGCGTTTGCGGCAGCCTTAAAATACTCAATACAGGCCAACAGCAGCAGCAGCGCATACTAAGCTCATTGCGAAGGGATAGCACTACTGCGCCACCAAATGCCATTGTGGTAGGCATGGCAGCACCTTCACCTGGCAGCGATTCCAATGCTTCAAATGCAAGTGGCTTTGCAGTACCGACTAACTTATCGTCTGCATCAAGCGGAGGCAGCGGTGCTCTCAACGCATTACTCACAAATGCTGCCACGCCCTCGCCGTCTGGCTCAGATCATTCACAATCGTCTCAAACGCACCCGAATCAGGTGTTACTTGAAAGACTCAGCAACGTGACTTCAAATGTTTCAGCCGTGTCAGCGGTGGCTATGCCGCACATGTCGCCACAACAACCAACTTCGGCACAGTCGAACCAACAACAGCAGTTCATCACCAAGACACTTGTGCACTCGCCCGCCACATCATCCATACACTCGCCAATGTCTAGTCCGCATCCACAGCCGTCTGCCTCCCCCCAACAGCAACAGCAGACAACAGCGACGCTAAATCTACAGGGCATCAATCTGTCCCAGCTGCAGGGCGCCATGGCGAACTTTGCGGGCCTTCAGAATGTACAGGTTCAGATTCCAGGCTTTACGCAGCCCATTTCATTGCAATTCTCCGGCAACAGTTTGCAGACACCAGTGCAGGTACAACAGCAACAAACGCAGCAACAGAGCACGGCATGTGGCGGCACAGCGAGTGGATCATTGGCGCCGGCGCAGACGCAACAGCGCAGCGTGTTGGTCTCGGTGCCTGTATCGACGCAGCAACAACAACTGTCGCACTCGATTACATTGCAGACGACGCAATCATCGCCTCAACAGCAACAACATGCGCCGCCTACAGGGACCATAGTCAGCCTGCCCTCGTCGGTGGGTGGCACCCAAACTGTAGTCATTACAAGCAATGCAGCGAGCAGTGGAAGTACCACTGGAGGCGGTGGTAACGGAAGTGGAACAGGAACTACAGCTATGCTCACGCTTCCCATTGGTAAGTGAACCAACTAGCAGCAACACATGAGAATTGCTTTAAGATCTGTCTTTGGATGATAACTCGCGAAGCAGCTTGCTTGTACACTTGTTATGACTGTAATTGATCCTCGTACATTATGTAATAAGTTTTCTTTTTATATATAATTGATATATTTATTTATTGAACATGCTTAATTTTGTTCTTTTCTGTTTCTATTCCTGTTTCTACTTTCGTTTCGTTTCTTGTTCACACATAAACCTCTTAACAACTCGTTCCGATACTCATGCAACTAAACTGTTTATGTGTTTTGTGTTTAACCACCGCCATCAGTTTAACACATGCACCAGCTAACTCTGGTCCTTAACCCGGCCTTTGGGGCGGCTAGTTATCTTATCTGACCAACAGATTCATTGTAACCTAAAACAACAACAAAAAAATATCCCCGCACGCCCGTTCTGCTCTCTGCTTACAGCTCAACTAGTCGGTGCCGGAGTACAGAAACTAAATCCTCAAACAATACGTACCTCAAGTGGTGGTGGTGTAGGTGTTGTAACGACAGCAACAACCGGAGCTATGCAGCCCAGAACACGCAACGTCCAGGTCGTGGGGACTAAGCAGCTGGCCAGTAGTCGACAGCTGCTGACCGCACAGCGTCAGATTGGTAGCTCAACGCTAAAGATTGCGACAACGGCTGTCAATAGTAAGTCGGCTGTTAAGCAACTAATCAAGTAGATGAATAATTACACTCTCTTTCTTTATAGGCAACGCCGTTACAAATAGCACTAATATAAGTACCGGGCCGATTGTGATGTCTGCGCAGAAAATGCAACTGAAGACAGTGAAAACGCCGACACAGCAGCACCGAGTACTCAATCAGGGCACCACCGCAGGTTCCCAAACCCTGCCTAGTCCCAGTCAAGTGCAACATCAACAACTGCAGCACATACAAATCACTGGACGTACGGCGCCAACAAATACCAGCGTAATGAGTCAGCGCACCCTGACAGCTCTAGCAGCGGCCAAGCAGCAGCAGCAACAGGCAGCCGTTAATCGACGGCGGTCCACCACCGATGCAACCAAGTAAAAGAGCTACTTTTTTAAGCAATGAACATAGAGTACTTGCTACTGGAGTAGTATTCTGAATTCAGGAGAGGAGACACGTAAAAAGGCTATGCGTTATACATTTGCAGGATATTATAGTTTGCTAACAACTTAAATATCACTACATTTTATACATTATATACCTATATATTGGTATATATTTTGATGTGTATAACTGTAAGTGTAAGTTGTGTTGGCTGCTTGAGCCATATGAGATCAAATCAAACCAAGAGTCTAACCAAGTTTGGATATATACTGCGACTGCAACTGTGCATGAAGGTGATGTTCGCTATCAAAGCGATGGCGAGGATGCCTGCGTTGTGTTTGTTGCGTGCCCCTTGCAGTAATTTCTGTTCAAATACAAATGAATTAAGTGTAAAGCTCTTACTAGTATATATATATATATATATATATATATATATATATATTGTACATATTAATTATTTCATATTCAATACGTGCTCCAAAAAGCCATTTCAAGAATGTCTATTAGTTTGGCTCTCCAATTCCAATTGGTTACACTCTAAGACTAACTACGTAAGCGTGCGTGGTAACTTTAAGCATTAGCAGTAAAGCAAAAACGTCTCCTCCCCACGAAATGCATATGCAAATGAAAACAAAACAAAAAGCAATAGTAAGAAGAAAAACAATGTAAAATGTAAAATTGATAAAAACAGAATAATGTATGGCTAACAATTACGATTTGAATTAGTTACGAAGAAAACGGTATGAACAGTTATAATGGTTCATATGAAACATGTTAGAAATATACTTATGCATATTGTACTATTATTAATTATATTATTGTAATTATTATTATTGCTAATTATTTAAATGCTTAACCTAATTTTATTAAAAATAAACATATTTAGTTTGTATTGAAAAAAACAAAAACAAAAAAAAAACAAATTAGTACTCGTACTTCCAATTGCAACACACAATTTACAACAAGAACAACAAACAAAAAATGAAGATACCTAAAAGTCAAGCAAAACGTAATTAAACAAAATGTATTTATAATAGAGTAATATTAACCGATTGGAAAATGCGACCATTAGTGTACAATCTTATATATGCAGACCGATAAAAACTGAGCAGTAGTTCCGAGCTAATAAATTATCGCTGTATATTAAGGAATTGGATTTTGTAGCATGAAATTATTTATTTAATTATTTCTTTTTAATTTTGTTACATCTCTTGCTGTAATTGTAAATGTTTGGCATAGTATGCTTTTCTGTACAACAAAAACAAAACAAAACAAAAATGCCTATAAAATACAAATTACTCTAACAAATTATTTAAAACAAAAACCAGAGTTACCCAATAATACACACACATACACTCAAAAATAATTTACTCAATGTTATAATAAATGTGATTTAAGAATGCAAACATGGTACTACCTAAAAAAATTTTAAATGTTACAATAAAACAGGTAGTGAAAGTCGAAAACGCGCACGAGTCCGTGTCTTCAGAGCAAAATTTAAGTAATAATTAAAAATTAAAGTAGTTCGAGAGCAATCTAAAAATTCATCATAAGCTATTAAATATATCTAATAACATAAATGTAATTTCAACTCAATAACTGCTTATCTAAATACCTGACGTCGAATCTTTTCATTTAACGTAAACATAAAACTGATGATGTTTAAAGACTTTCGGGAGAACTGAACCTAATCGCAGAAAAGCCACTCACAAATGTGGATAATAAACAATACATCTAAGAAAGACTTCTGATAAATCAAATATAAAACAGTCTTGTTGTGTGAATGTACAAATTTTCTGTGTTTATCTCAATTTTAGAATTTTACATAATACTCTTGTAACATTTGAATGGGATACATTCCATTTACTAATTTTTTATTTTTATATATTACATATAGTTAGTCATTATCACAAGAAAGCAATAGATTGGGATAAAAGCGTAGTCCCTCCACGGATTCATCTCGACAAACTTTTCCCATTCTCTCAGCCACCAGTAGCCGCTCCTTAGCTAACAAAAGCGATATACGAAGCTGTTTAGCCAGTTCCTCCACTGCCAAAGATTCCGCATCTCGCACTTTCTGCAGCGTGTCAATCGAAATTACCTCATCATCATGAGATTCGAGCTGTAGAACCATAGCTCCACTGGGGAATCGACGTAATTTAATGGGCCCACTAAGGCGTTCGCATGCATGCAACAAATCTTCAGGTGAAAGAAGTTCCAGACCACGAGCGCGATTCACACGACAATATACATCAGCCAGGGACATCATGCCTCCATGTTCCTAACAACAACAAATACAACATATAAAGCAAATTCATCTTTCGAATAAATAATTTACACTCACTTCAATTGGATCGAGTAGCATTTGGCATACTTGCTGAGCCAAACTATTGAAATAAGCCGTATTGCTGCTAAAATTGTCGCGTGTCACCGGATCATCTATGCCCAAGCTGAGCAGATAAGATTTGAAGCGAACTGTTTCATCTTCGGATATTTCACCTCTTTGCTCACGTATTTTGCCGCTTATATTTTTGGATAAGCCTACCATATCCTTTGCCATTGCCATAAGAACACTTAGATCTTGGAAAGCAAGTGCTATATTCTCGTCCGTTTCCTTGGCTTTCGCTTCTAGATGCCGTTCTATTCCACCTATTCCCGTACGTTTCTGAATCCTAGCTAACTTATCACCTACACTTGACATCGACTCTACTCCTTTCACAATGGTCTCACTCGTCAAGGCGATTTCCCAGACACGCGCATTTAAAGTTTCTCGCAGCGCGCTGTGAAATTCCACACTTAGTCCGTTTTTACCGGAGAGCTTTATGTGTGTAGCTCGACTTGTGTCAAGTGGGCCTGGAGCTTTATTTATATTGGGCGGACGCAAGTGCATTATTATCCGAGTTTTTCGCCCAAAAAAATTCGAAGCTGTTGTTTCCTCACTGAGAGAGATAACATAGCTAAGTGGCAAACAAAGAGTGACGGCTGCTCGTGCGATTTCCCCAGGACGGCCCCAAAATAATCTATGAGTTGTAAGCACCACTTCTCCATCTTCAAATTCCGTCTAAAAAAGAGGCGTAGCCGAATATAGTAAAGCTAACATTTATTGTGATGTGATCTACCTTTTGGTCTCCATCGTAGATTTTGACATTGCGATCGCGGCTTACGAACGACTCGCTTTCGGTTAAGCGGGCCTCTTCATATGCAAAGCGATTCATTGTTGCTTATTGCTATTTAATTATTAAATATTTCTTTTACAATTGTTGTGACTTTTAATATAACTAGATATGAACACTGAATGACAGCGTTACGATATATTGATATATATCGAGCTGGAAAAAATACCACTCATGTCATTTAATTCTCACTTATTGTCATAAAAATACTAACAACTGATGTATCGTAAATTTCTGTTTTTTACAATTAATGATTCGACAATTATTGATTTATTGAGTTCTTATCAAAACAAATTCAAAAATTTATGTAAATGGGATAAGGCGTTAATTACTGTTTTATTCGTCATGGTAGGCCAGGACTATCGATAGCCAAGAGCTCGTAATATCGATAGGCCTAATAGTACTATTAGCATGTGCCTCCAATAGGAAGAAGTTTAATTTGTTGTTTTTTCTGTTTTAGTTTTTTTTTTGTGGTATTATTACTATTCTAAATACATATTTAAAGAATAAAAATATGCGAATTGTCATACTTTAATTGAAGGTGCTTATGTAACAATGCACGAACCCACGAAATAAAAAAACTACGTGCATATCGATCACCGCGTACGGATTACTGTCAGGCTTTGCGCACAAATAATTGTATGTATCATGACAACAGCAACAGAGGCGAGTAAAATGCTTGAGGCAGCATTGCAACAGATGGATGGCATAATATCAAACTCAGCGACTGCGGCTGTCAGCAGTCAATCGCAGACTCAGCCAGGAACTGCAACTACGGCTTCGTTGACAAGCTTCTGTGAGCGTAATTTAATTTCGGCTACTAATGTGTTATCAACGGCGAAGACCCTGGCTTTGGCACTGCAACAGGTGAGTCAAAAGTTGTGTTAATATTGGAAGCCATAAATCAAATTAAATCTTTTTTGTAGGTTGGCTTAGCAGCGCCCGCTCCAGATCCTGTTACCGCAGCAATTATAAGTGATTGGCTGGAAACGCATATACCGCGCCAAGACTCTGATGAACGAATGCGTCGATTGCAGCGCGACAAGGAGGGATTGGCCCTACAATACCAAATGTTGGCGGAACGCGTTTCTGAGCAAGCGGACAGAATAATTGAATTGGAAGGTCTCTTAACGGAGAAGTCGCAGCAGCTTTGCAGCAAAGAAGAGCAACTGCAGCGCCAAGTAATTTCCCAATCTGCGCTAGAAACACAACAACTTGAATTAATGACTGCCTTAAGCGAGTTAAAACTGCATCGTACGGCACTTGAGTGCGAAAACGAACTGAATGCCACCAATAGTAGTGTGCCTTATGGCAGCATGGGTAATCTAAATCAAAAGACCACGCCTGATGGACGTCTAGCACCCAAAACTCCACCGTCAGCATTGCGGCACCAGATTAAGCCACAATTTCACAGCTTGCCGCGATCGCATGGTGGTGCCACAAAACAGGTGCAGCGTCCGCAATCGAACACCAATAATAACAATAACCATACCCTAGATGTCAATGCGAACAGCAGTGGGAAACAGCGCAATGTGGCGTTTGCCTCTAACGAACAAATTCTAATTGACGACAATTTGCTGAACGATGGCGCTAGCCCAACTGAAGACGCAATGTCTATGTATTCAAGTTTTCGATCCCAAACGCAATGCACGCCCTCGCCAAAGCTACACGAGCGGTCCGTGCGCGGATTGCGTAGCATTTTAGGTAAATTGCGGCGCAGCAACAGCAGCAACTGTGAACTGACTGCCTTGGAGCAGGCTGAACCCGATGAATTTCGTCGAGGTGGCTCGCGTGCAACTGCCGGCGGCCGCATTGAATGGAGTGGTCAGACTCCAATGTTCACCGATGCAGAAAAACATTACAGCAGCTGGAACGCACAGGAAGTATGCAACTGGCTGTCGCACATGGGTCTTGGATGTTATCAGGACAACTGTAGGTGAGTAAATCGTTTCAATCAAATGTCTATACAGCACCATATTGAACGAATGAGATCGATCGATTCTTAATTTAAACACAGTAAATGTACTCCCAAATCCATTTGAATAGAAATCACCAATTATCTATCTATCTATATTAATTGTTAATTGTTATTAATTTTTTAAGAATAGAGCGTTAGATTTCACTAAACAAAAAACAATCATAATTTTCCACTTTCTCATATCTATCTACTTTTCACAGAAAATGGTTGAAAGCCGATCCCACAGTTTGTTTCTTTACCGCTTCACCGATCGATATCGAACGTGAGCTTCATTTGAAATCAGTTCTGCATCGAAAGAAAATCATGTTGGCCATTGATGACATAACAAAAAGGGAGCTTGATGAGCTGACAATAAAGGCAGCCAAATTGGATGTGGGCTGGGTGCTGCGTTGGTTGGATGACATTGGTTTGCCACAGTACAAGGATTACTTTTTGCAGGCGAAGGTCGACGGTCGCATGTTGCACCGTTTAACTCTTGAGGATCTTTTCCAATTACACGTGAACTCATGCCTGCACATTGCATCTGTGCGATGTGGTATTCTGTGCATGCGCCGCTTGCGCTGGGACGCCGAAGGTTTGATTCGGCGTTCAACCAAAGTTACTGAACCGAACGACGAAACCATTAGTGCAGATAAGGAAAGTGTCGATTTGTGGACGGCACACCGAGTAATGGAATGGTTAAAAACCATAGACTTGTCCGAATATGCTCCGAATCTACGCGGAGCTGGGGTGCACGGAGCATTGATGCTGTATGAGGAACGATTCAATGCCGACTTACTAGCTGATTTACTTTCAATACCGCCGAGTAAATCTCTGCTACGACGCCACTTGGCAATGCACTTTAAGGAATTGGTTGGACGTTCCATAATACATTGTAAACGCGATGCCGAAGCTGCACCTGGCTATCTACCACTAACGATCACGGCAAAACTGAAGCCACCAAAGCGCTCACAATTTACACTTAAACGTCGCAAGAGCGCAAAAGGACAAACTGAGGTCGATTGGACAGATCTAGTATGCCCGATGAATATGACAGTCCCTGCACTGTCCTTCAACGCAGATGCGATCAAAGATCACGACGGCTCCTTGAGCTCTAATTAAACGATCCCCAGGACTATAGAAAAAAGTATACTTACGAGCAATGTATTGTTAATTTAGTTTTTAAACTGACCCTGAAACCGAAATTTTTTCGATCTAGCGAAAGTCAAATGCAATGAGATGCATTTGCAAGAATTTAACTTGGCAACTATTTTAGCCAACCTTCAAGCAATTTATGGTAATTACCAAACGACCAAACAATAACGTATTAACAAAGCAGGCTGCTAAACGCACAAATAACACTAATACATACCTATATTTGAATTTCGCACTTTATTTTTATACAAGGACTTAAGTATTGAAGTCTTCCAAAAAAAGAATTAGGTATTTAAAAAGCATACATATTATTAACCTGGAAAGCAATCCAAAGTCTGGCATAACGGAGAATAGCCGAGTTTATTTTTACTAACATTATTTTGTGTGTTATCTCCATAATTAAATATTAAAATAATAAAACCGTTTTTTACAGAAGTCACATTTTTTCCGATTCGCTTACTGTAGGCTATTTCGATGTCGGATTCGACAAAATATGACTGTTAGAATTTAATTAAATTGTTAACAATAACATTGCTTAAATTGCTGAACGACTTGAGGCGTGGCTATGAATTAGAAATTAGCCAGCTTGGACGGAATCAACATTGTATGTAGATAATTGCTGTCTAGCGAAAACATGACATTTCCCTCGACAATTCTTTCTTAAATCTATCAATCTTTGGCAGTGTGTTTATTCATAATCGCAGTAATTTATGTAAAGCTCATACGGGACCCACTACGTGGCGTGATTTGCTGCGGCATGCACTGTAGCCAAATTATCTACACCTAGACCAATTTGCCCGGCCAGTATACTCTCGAGCACGTTGTGTTGATCGCGAGAAACAGTATCCTTGCCATGATGATGCTTGCAGATATCACTTTCGGGTATATGATCCTTCCAGTTGCGGAAGAGGTAGCGCGTAAATTTCTTCAGTTGTCTAAATTTGCAATACGTAGCGCCCTCGGCTGACTGCAGTTGTTGCGTTTGTATTAAAAATCCTTTTTCTTTAAATGTCTTTTCAAGTTTCTCACGCTGTTTGGAGCGGCGCGATGAGCGTCCCCTCTTTCCTGTTGGCGTCGTCACAGGCCTTGGACTCGCTAGTGATCTATGTAGCTGTTCAGGGGGATCCAACTGCTTACTGCTATCTTCGGGCTGTAGCGTTGTGTGTCGCATGGGGCTATGGCAGTTGGAGTAATTGGACGGACTTTGCGATGCGACTGGCACCAGGCTGCTCGGCAACAAAATAGATGATGTTGGGGATTCGGGTGGTATGTGCAACAGTTCCAGGCTGAGATCCGTCGAGGGCGGTGGTATATCGATATATAGTTTATCATTGCTGGTGGTGGATGAAACTGATGTGTGCTGCTGATGCTGCTGCTGTTGCTGCTCTCGTGATATGAACTCGTAGCCACGCAGGGTCCTGTCGCCAGTGCCATTGTAATATCGGTAGTTGCCTTCGGCATCTACCGACAACATCTTCTTCTCCTCTAGCATAGGCTTAGCTCCGCCCGTAAACTTAAACTTGCAAATGCTGACCTCGGTGGAGGGGCTGGAGCTGTGCTCGGCCGGTATGGGTGGTATAAAAATCGCCGATCGCTTACGTTTGTGCATGGCAGACGGTGTGACGGTATCGATCGATAGCTCCAACGGGTCTCGCTTGTTAGGTGAGGTGGTGATGGTGGTTATGGTGTCAAAGAACCCACTTGGTATGGGTATCTTTAATGATAGTTGATTGTCTTTTTCAATGGTCTCAACTTGCACGCGGCAGTTTCCCATGAACTTTTGGTGGTATAGTCCCACAGGCTGTAACAATAACTTCTTAGATATCCTGGTCTCCTTTTCTGTAGCAAAGTTAATTGATATAGGCTTCATAGATCCTGTATGATCTGTCAATGGTGTTGCACGCTGCGAGTAACTTCCGCCCTCTGTGGTGGACGTGGCGGTATTTGTAACTGTCGACGGCTTGTCACTGTCGCCGCTTGATATTGAGTAACGGTCACTGGATTGATCCCGCAAGCAGAGATTCAGGGGCTCTTCTAGCGGAACGCCAGTTGCGGATGAGCTGCCCACAATCCGGTGTGGGAGCGCTGACGCAGTACCTGGAAGCTTGGATTCAACCAGTGGACCGTGCCCAGCAGACGTCGGAACGTTGGTTGGGACGATGGTGCCATAGTTCTTGTAGATCAAATGACAAATGTCCGCCTTCTTTGGCTTCCGTCCGCGTCGGGGCTTATAGTTATCCAACGTGATTTCGCCCATGTAAGGCAGGTCGGCATATTTGATAGTGTTGCCGCGCTTTGGGCTCGATACCTCTATAACGGGCTGTAGCGCTTGGGTTGTAGCTGCTGGTATCGACTCAGATGGTACCTCTGATCGAGGATCCTTACATAGTTCCTGTTCTTGTTGCTGCCGCTCTGCACTTCTCTGGATGTCGGCTATCTTTTTGAGCCAGCTGCGCACGTTCTCGTGCGACTGGTTCTGAGGCGGATGTGTGGCCTTCACGGCGGGGGCTGCAGCTAGAGCTGTTCGAGTGCTCGACAAATGGCGCCTCTGCGTTGCCTCATAGTGGGCAGCATACTCTGCGGGCAAGGCCTGATGATGGAAGCGCAATTTTACTGCTCCTGTGTTGGAGGTTGAGCGTTTCTTTGATTTGCTCTGTCGCGATATTCTTTGTGTTGGTACGGATAATTCCGGCACCGGTTGTCTATGCTCTTTCCTAGCATTCATCAGATTAGCTTTCAGCTGCTGCTTTGTGAGCGTGCTGCATGCCCTATTCTGCATTGTTTGCTGCTCCTCCGTTCTGCGAGCCAACAACGTCTTGAAGGGATAGTCCTGATCTTCATCATGTGGATCATTGCTGGCTCCGTGCGAGATCAAAGGATCATCAGAGCCTTGTAGCAGCAGCTTGTTGGTATTCAACGGATCCAAGCGCATGTGATCAGTCACTGACGTGTTCTGCCAGCGCTCCGTTTCAATAATCTGACCTCCATCCGGATCTATCTTTATGCAGGGTATATTTGTAGAGAGCAAGCCGTTTGGCGGCAGCTGATGCAACTTGTGTGATTTTATCGAGCACATTTGTGATTTGTTGTTCTGTACGTGGTTGTTGTGTTCACAGGCATTATAGGCCATGGCGTTCTCCCGCGTGAGATCCTCCATGTTACGCTCTATAACGAAATAGTAAAAACATGTTACATTTAGTGTCGTCGCAATATGGAATAACTATAATTATGCTTTATCGAGACACACTTCACAATTCACAATTCACATTTTTCACATGCCGGTCATCGTCATCGTCCGATCGTATCCGCATCCGTCTCTATCGGTGGTGGCGGTGACGGTGACAACACGGGAATTCTATTTAAATGCTCTGCGAACTGGCGAGTAGCGCTGTATCTCTCTCACACACAAACACACACACATGCATACACATGCTTATTTGAGAGAACGTAGAAATTTGTTTTTGTAGATGAAATCCGATTCCCTAGGCGAAAATATATGACCATAAAAGGCTTAAACACAGGCAAACACAGAACTGTGTGGCAATGGTCATGTCTGACGCTTCGAGTATTGCTCTTATTACTGCATCCGTAACAATGACTGTGCTTATGTTCAAGTTGTATATTTTACCTTTCTCCTTTTTAGTTATTGCAAGACTAGTTTATCATTGAGTCAGGCGGATTGATGGCCGGCCTGAGTATCAAGTCTAATTCCTGTGGAAGGAATAGCCGAGTTATCACGCGTTGTCTATCGCACTGGATTGGTTTGCTGCATCGCCATCGCGCGCGTGTACCTCGTGTTGACATCCAAAACTCAACTAGTTGCGGGAAAGTCACGAAAGGCATCATTTTGAAAATATGCTCCTTAGATGGACCGTAGCCCGAGACGCAGACGTAGACGCAGGCAGAGGTGATGCCGAAGTAGGAGAGAGCAAGCACGCCCCGCCACACAATAGACGAAGAAAAACCGCTGAGCAGGCCAAATGAAAATCAAATTAAATTCTTCTGCTTCGCTCTTTTTTGTATTTATCATTCGTGGCCGCGGTGCGTTGTCGTGCTTGTCTGTATTTAACGCCAAACACGAAGATATTTCGTGTATTCATTTTTAGAAAAATTCAACTTGTTGCCGCGTTGCGCGTTGCGCGTAGCGCGTAGCGCGTTGCTTTGCGGTCATAAACCAGCCAAACACGATAAAAGCACGCCGGACAAACCGAATACAATTTTGTACAATATTAATTTTGGCTCAATTTTCAGAATTCATTCATAAACTATTTGGTTCTGATTCTGTTTACAGGCCTAGACCAACAGATTGGTTCTATTATCAGAATGGAAAGAGCTGCAACTGAGATTTTGCAAAGGAGCTGAGCTGAATATAATTCGATATGCTCGTCTCTTATAGGGCATCACATATTCGATCAACTTTCAAGTTTAATCTCAACCATGGCAGCTGCATCATTCAAGGTGTGTGCGAGCAGCATCCCAAAGTTCTTGATTCTTCGCAGAGGTATTCGCTCAGTGGATATCGCGATTATTAATAGATATGCGAGACTTCAAGTTAGGGCATCTGTATTTTACCTTGCGTCTAGCGTAGGTGTATTGGTATATCAATGTATTGGTGTATTAGTGTACGTGTGTATGGCGGCTTATTATTTTCCGAAAAGGAAAAATACCCTCAAAATAAATGGCTCTGTGCGTTTATTTCGGGATGTATATATATATAGATATATATATTTATAAACACACATTTTTATGGCTCTAGCTACATATGTGCGTGTTTGGTTGTGTGTGAAAATATGGGTCATAGTGGTTTCATTCAATACGAAAATACAGAGTCGTATACTTAATATTGGGCAGCTGAATTTCATATCACATTCCTAAGATCTATTGCGTGTACAAATAATAAAGTATCACCTTTGCCTGGGTTAAACATCAATCAGGCTATAAGTTGTCATTCACATACAGATTATATGAAATATATTTCGAAGAGATCCTAATTTATATAGACGTTTCGAAATTCGGCCATTTTAATAAATATTCTTAACAATTTTTCTTATTGAACGACCTGAATATGTAGGTTTCTTTCAATATTTTACTTTTATTTTATAGTTATGCAAAACAGAACAAATCATTATCTTCAGTAAGACGATACTCTGTTCTGTTTTCCTTATACAGTGCACTCGCATTTTGATATATTGAGTTTACAGTCTAAGCCACATCATGTTTGATGACCAGTATTTAGATTTATTATTAGCCATATCAAGGATTAATTTGATTAAATTGGAAATAATTGAAGTCATTTGACCGACTCCAAAATATTTATATATATATTTACATTAGGATTGTAAAATATACATAGGTGTGGACCATATAGTTTATAGGGTATCTGCAGAAGTAGGCAACAATGAGCCATTGTAAAATGTGAATGAGTATAATTTAAAAATAAAAATCATAAAGCACAAAGTTAAGTCAAGTTCGACCTAAATAAAAGTTTATTCGCTTTAAATTAACCAAGTTCTGATTCTGCCGAAAACAAAAATTTTTTACAAATCGTATAATCCTGTATTATCTTATTCTTACTAGATATACAGGAACGAAGGTTGATCGATATTTTCGGATTTGCCACTTAACTATAAGCGTTCTTTTTGAATTATAGGTATATTTGTAGTGATGAAATTGACAGAGTTTTAAGTGGAAATTTTTCTTCTAGTTCCAAAACTGTGAAATATATAAATTTCCTAATTTATTTTTTATTTTTAGCTGTAAACGAGTGCAATGTATAGTTTTCACTTATTTGCTAACGCCCAATAATACTATAATGTTTGTTCAATATGTAGAGTAGCTAACAGTAAACTATATCCAAAGCTTGGGGCTTCAAGACGTTGAAAGACATAGCACATCTGATAGGATTTCTTATATATCTTTTATATCCCCAAAGGTCAAACATATTGCATTTCAAGTAAACCAAGTGAGAAGCTCAACAGTAACCCAGTTATGAAATTATGGGCTTCGAGATCCTAAAATGTAATCGATAGTGTTTTATTTATTTTTACGCAATATATATTTTAGCTTCAACAGCGCAGCAAATATTTGAATTTATGTGTCAAATAATATACTATTTGCCAATTTGTCACGCCTCTAGTTGTCGTATCGGAAACTTAACGTTTGGTAAGACGAGGCGCCACGCCAGTATATATTACAAATTACTTCGTAGACAAGTATAAATAGTTAGTTCGATTGTTCTTTAGGGAGTTTAAAGAGACCGGTTAATTATTGTATCGTAAAATCAATATATGGCTTTTCAGGGTATCTATGTAAGATGTAGAAGGAGGCGTGGCAGCTCCCGTAAAGGATAACTATTCTGGATCAGGATGACCCTGATTTATAGAAACAGGATTTTTTAAAATTTATTTACAGTTTATATACATTGTGGAATGCAAAGGGTATACTATAAGCGTAGCTCAATTAGTTGCTAATTCTTATCACCATTTTGATTGTAGGAGTAATAATTGCCATAAAGTGGAAAAAATCTTGTTTTGAGTATATTTATTACACAGGCACACAATGTCTAGACATCATCTATAGTTGTACTCCATTTGGCAATGAGTGTATGATGCAGTTTGTGCGAGTGTATTAGTTTGCATTTTTAGGTGAATAAAGTAGAAAAGTGTATTATTGATAGTAGGTGGGCGAGTTTAAAAGTATGCTGTCATTTGGTCCGTAGTTGACTATTGGAATCAGCTACCCAGCTACTATTTACATTCTCGAATTTGGATGGCAGTGGTGCTTACATCACCGTCGGCAGTACTTGGCCGGCGGTGGCTTGCAGTCTGTAGGTTGGAGAGAACTTTGGTAAGCCGTATGTATTGCACATCTATCTGGTGCTGCGACTGCCACAGTTTCTGATAATATTTATATAAATGGCATTCAATACCATTCATTAGTTTTTTTTATTCAATACCTGCTGGCGCGTACGTACATATTTGTATTTATGGCCATAACTGCCACTTTGGCCGCCTACGCGCTGCGTCGTTCGCTCAAAGAACAACAACAAAGCCGCAGAACGGGAAGAACCTCAGCGGCGAGAGGAGAGCGCCACATGCATGACAGCATGATACGCGTATATAGCGAATCATCGATTGGCTTTCTCATCAATATCTTTTATTTTGCACAATTTGCTTCAGGAGGTGCACTTCGCATTGCTTGATATCAAGCTGATAATATATTAAAATTGTTTAACAATTCGAAACTGTCATCACTAACAAATCATAAAATACGCGCGCTATCGTTGATCCATTAGCAGTGGCGGCATTGCGACTGCGCTTGCAAGACTTTAACGGACGTAAGTTCACATGCGCACAGCAGCTGATTGGGCGAAACAGGGCTGCCAGACTGGCAGGATTTGCTGCAGTCGAAACAGAGAACGAATTGAATTCGAATCGAATAGACGCTTATCCAATATTACATTTAAATATGACAATGAAAATGTGTTTTTATTATTTACGGCTTATGGAGGTATTGTTCTGTGTATAGAGATACTTCATATCTCCAAACTGATTTACAATATGAATGAGCACAACCTGGCCACTGTCGCATACCGTAGTTTGACAATCACTGTGTACTGAATCACTACTATACGCTAGCAAAACGCTTAACGAACTTAAATTCGCATGCGTACATCAGCTGATTCGTACGGTCAGTGCTGCCCATGTGTCTCATGCAAACCACAGCAAAGATCGAATTCAAATTATGTTAATACACGTTTATTTTATACTACAATGTTATTATTTTTTATAAATATCATATATTTATACTTGTAGTTGTGTGTTGTGTAGAACATAAATTACAGTCCACAAATTGTGGGACCACTGAACAGATGATATACTGCTGTTTTCGTACGCTCTACAGTTTTAGACGAACTGTGCACATGAAATTTAGTGTGCACAAGCAGTGCACTTTTTAATCAGCAAGCAGTTTATGTGATAGACAAAATACAGACAATAACAGAATGTATGTTTATTCATTCTTTATTTGTATGAAATTTTCTGAATATTTTGATACTTACATAAAGTTCAATATGTAGGAAAGCAATGAACACTAATTGCAATTTGACTAAGAAAAAATTGTAATTTTGTGTGTTTGTATTTATTCACTCAATAATTAATAAATACATTGTTCACATTAATTTTATCCCACATCAATATGTGAATAGCTAAATATTGTTGAATATGTAGAGATTGGCTGAGGACGATAGTGCACTCCTGCGTAAACAGTTTCCAGTGAACTAAGTAAATCTGTAGTATTTCTTTTTATGTCACGATCTATGTAATATTTATGTATGTGTGCATATGTTATTTAATATATACATATATATAATATATATATATACATATACACATATATATATATATATATATATATATATATATATATATATATATATATATATATATATATATATATGTATATTTACATAGGAAAATTGAGAAATTAAACATTTAATTTTACAAATAGATATTTAAAATGACATTAGAAAATATTAGATTACAATATTTTATACGATTATAAGTATATTTATATATTTTAGGACGTACACTCGCTCCAAGTCTTTTAAATATAAATTAGTTTTTGTTGTATTAACAGCTGTTGCAGTAAGATAATAAGTGTTGCATATTTAATATATTTATATAACATTTATTCATATATATTTATAGCTTATATGTAGTATATATTTTACAGTAAGCTTGCCCTGCACACATACATATGTAATACAACATCAAAAATAGAGTAATAACCTTGCTGAAGAATAGAGAAAATAATTCAATTATCTTCTTACAAACTACACTCACATACATGCATGCATACATATATGTACAGGCACGCCTATTTGTATGTATGCAAGCATGCATGTATGCATGTGTGTATATATGTATGTAGTTAACATCGACATATATAGGATTTACGTTGTTATCGTTGTATATGGTATATTCGTAATAATTGCCGAATGGTTGCTATTTGCAATGAAAGGAACATTCGTTAAATAAACAATTTGCATTAAGTGATTGGCGTTAATTTATTGCAAAGTAATGCTAACCACATGCCACATACATACATAGATGGATTAATCCAGCAGACTGAACATCCAGCAGAAAGTAAATTCATATATGTATATAAATGCTAATACGCACACAATCGAGTCTAAACGACAATGAAAAGATAAACATTTGTAACGAGCTTGGCAAATGGTGTTCTACTTTTGCTGAGCTTGTTGCTCTCCCAGTAAGCTTGATTGCTGTCCGGGCATATCTTCCTATAATACATCTGTACAAACTTTCGAGAGCCTAGGGAGAGTAATGGCTCACGCGATCGCACTTCTGTTTCATATACATTTGGCTGTCAGGTTGCGGACGAGCTAATAAAACGAAGTTGCTGCGGTTTGGGTTTGAGAAACTTTCCTTTGTGTGTTTGTGTTGTATGTTTAGTTATAGTACATAGATTGCCTACTTGCACTCTAAGCCGTCAACTATTGGCACTCACTCAATGACGTACACACACAATGGTATGCAACTCATACTGACGTTTCGAAAAGGACAACAGGAGCAATTTGTCAACTGTCGCTGATACAAAAGAGTCCGTCAGTCTTGCTGCTGTGGTCTAAGCAAATTGCAAGGGGCGGTGATTGACGACCGTTTGAGACCTAACGAAATGCCGTTGAAATGTTTTCATATTCATAATTATTAAAGAAATGCACACTTGAATACTCTTCGTCAAAGCGAACTAAAATGTCAACAACTCCGTCGACATTCCCCCATCACTCAGATCGGGTCCTTTTTCGTATCCTTTTCTTTAAATTGCGTCCGGAACGTAGATTGAATGAAGGTTGCTCGTTTCGTTCGTGCAACATAGGAACTTATTGGTTGAGCTTGTGTACTTCTTGTTCAGTAAACGTAGAATATAGTATATAAGAGTAGTTAAGGGAATATAGGTTTAAGTTTTGAACACCATAGAAAAAAGCCTAAAATATTGTATTTCATAGCAAATAATGCCACAATTCAGAAGTTGCTGTGCCTAACGCAACAGCTTGGCTTTCGGATCAAGGTTTCAGGGAAGTTTTGTACTTTGAAAACAGCATGAGGAATATTTTAGTTTGTTTTTGTTTTTGTTTTCGACACTGAAGCTCATCTCTATGACATCTTTAACGAATGTAATGCCACATGGCTGTGGGCTTGCGTGCATTGTTAATCATATCGTGCCAATGCTGACAGCCAGTTCCACTTTCCTGTGGCCCTAGTCCGAAGCAGCCGATTTCTGTTGCTTCGCTACCCGCACCGACCACATAGATCTGAAAATATTAAAGCAAGATTTAGCTGACAATATTGACAATATTCACCAAGGAAAACTCACCTCAATGGCGGCATTATGTAAATAATTCGATTGTAGATTGAATGTAAATGCCTCGTTCCATATAGGATTGCTTAGGTCATCAGATTTTGTAATGCTTGTCTTTTTCTTCTTTATGCGCTTGCCGTTTTGTATCATATATATCTGTAATTAAAGTCGGCCCATTGAGAAAAGAGAAATGTATAGTCAGTTGTACTCAAATTGTCTACCTTGACGTACGGCTCTTGAACCGTATCCAAATTTCTGGCTTTCATTATTACAATGGTCAAACGTTCAGCCTGTGGAAGGAAGTTTAAGGAGCACAGCAGTTCCGGTCGATCCTCTTTGGGCTTCTTGGTACGCAGCAAGTCGCCCCAAATCTAAGTCAAATAAAAGTAAATAGATCATTGCACGATAATTGTAACGACCAATGCTTACCTCAACGGACTTTGATAGATCTAGGCCGCCAACCAAAATACGCACTTCACCAATAATGTCATTGTGCGAGTATCTATCATAATCGAGAACCTGAAGGACCAGCTCCTTGCCCTGCAATTGATCACGTGAAACCGGAAACTTGAAATGCTGATCAAAGTACGGATTCGATTCGCCGCGGTGTATATGTGTTTGCCGTTTTCGATTATCCACATCTGGCTGAAGCATCAGACGCACGTAGGGGTCCCGAAAGCCGCCCTCCTCAATGGGACTTAAATTGTGTGCTGCAATGGAGCTCAAAATTATGTGTTGGGTCCCAAGATATCCAGCCAGAGTTAACGCACTCACCTTCAATTAAGTGAACCGTTAAGTCGAATAGGTGGTAGTCATATTTAATCCGCAAGTGCAAGCGACCCACGGCATGGCTAGTTTCGGGGGCCGTCAGATAGATCGGTCCATCGGGCATTCGATATAGATCCGGTTGCAGAGCACCAAGTGGCGAAGCAGGGCCCACAGTTGGGTCGACGCCGGGCTGAGGACGTGGAGGTATCAGCAATGGGGACAGACAACGGCCGCTGGTCACGCTCACGCCCATGCCCTTGCCAACAACAGATCCAACAGCACCAGTCATAGCCATATTCGGCGCAGATCCAACACCGACCCCACCCGATAAAGAGGCCAGGCTACTCTGGGAGGGGCTGGGCGTCCGCAAAACACTTACATCAGCTGAAGCCGGGCTACCGCAACGAGCGTCCAGAGAAATCGTCCGCATGGGACTGGGCGAACGGGCCAAATGGTGGGGAAACGCTCCCTCACTCGGAAGTGAACTACGTCCGTCGGGTCCAAATGTCCTTATTTGGGGTGAAGAGCCTCGATGTCCCTAATATGTGATATCGGGTCATTAGAGTAAAAGGAAGAGATAGAGAGATAGTGATAGAGATAGAAAGATAAAGAATCATAGACAGAGATTGAAGGAGGGAGCTTTGGAAGAGTGAACTCACCGACTGCCTGGATGGAGCGCTGTCCATACTGCTCTGACTGGAAATTGAAGGTGTGCGCTGAAGACGCGGTGGAAAGGAACGGCTCTGATGGTGCAAGTGCAACGGGCTGTGAAAGACCTCGGCAGGACCACGTAAAATGTCAGCTGGAATCGGATGGTTTGGTACACAGGGAATGCCATGAAGCTGCGAGGCCGGTTGAATTGTGTGAGACTCCTTCGAAATATTGACTTCCTGTAAAAGGAACAATTTCGAATATTTAAATTTGTGATGAGGGCGAAGGTGATTTTTGGCAAAGCACCTCTGAATCCGTCGGCAAATCACAACTATCGCTGCCACTACCGGCCGACACACTGCCAATGCCGCTCGTTGTCGAGGTCACCGATGAGGCCGATGGCGGCGGCGTCATCGGCTGCAGTGGTGGCGGCGTCGTGGATGCCGCACCCTCGCTTCCTGGCAGCACTTGGATGCAACCATTACTGCCGCCTGTGCTACTGCAAGTGCTTTCGTCGCCCGAGTTGCGGTCAAGTGTAACACGGCGAACGGCACCAACGCGCTCCTTGGCCATGCGGGACCACGACTCGATGCGCTTGTGTGCCAGCCAACAGGCTGCCGGACCCAAGCCACTCATATTTAAGTGTGAACTTTGATTTTACGCTAAACTTATTTTTCTTTTCAGTTAACTGTGGGCTTACGTGCTCGATAGTCGGAAGTCTTACTTTTAAGATAAATGGAGCAGGAAAAGTTCACGTGTTAGATACCTGGAAGCCTTCAGTTAGGTATTGTTGATATCCCTACTTAGCTAAGTCGCAACTGTTGCATTGGAACCTCTATTGGTATAACTAGTTTGCTTTTTAGAAACTCAGAAGTCTTACTTTTGGGAGGAATAGCTTGGTCATATTGCTGTTTGTTCACCCTCTCTGCTTCATTGACTAGACTGTGATAATAAATCGTGCCGACCACACACTGGCATTGTGCATCGAACATTAATCCCTTAGATCTGGTTGCCACTCACTCCCATGCACAAGTACACCAATAGGTAAGCGTGTGCATGAAACACGGTACATGGTACATGCTGATACCGCAATCATAATGGACATCCATATCTGGGTAAGCCTTGTTACCTTGGTATTAATTATGACTGTGTATCAGCTGCTAGCAGGTAACCATGGAAGCCGCACTAAAAGTGTGCTTCAAGTAGACGTGTCCACCAATCAGCCAGAGCCACTAACCAGCTTTGCAACCTTGAGCCACATTATAGCCCATGATCGTAAATATGCAGATGCCATTGAACATTGTTGCGTACATGTTGTAAATGCTTATTGTACGAATCTCTTCCAGTCCTAGTTCTGCTTTGCAAGGCCGTTCGAAATCATCAGCAAATGAATCGTAATCAATCCCCAAGCGGTGATGCCAGGGCCTACTCGCAGCGTATCGAACACGCAATAGGAATTCATTTGCAGTCACACCCAATACCAAGTTCATGTAGTTTCCTCAATGACAAGCTGGAGGGTTGACAATTATTTCGGGTGAAGAGGGTATATTTCTTGCGCAATACAAATGTAAACAATAAATGTATTTTCAAGTGTTAAATAAATTAAATGAATTTAAGCACGTGTAGCAAATGACACCAAAACACACGGACTGAGAGAGAGGGAGAGAGAGAGTGGCGAGAGAGGGAGCGAGCAAGAAACAGAGACCAACCCCCACATTAGTTCGGGATCATAAAAATACATTCTCTGTGTGAACATTTTTACACATACATAAATAGCGAATCCTTAGCAAGATATATATGTATATATATATGTATGACTATATATATATGTATATATAAGATGTATATGATGCGCAGATGTCCAGAATCCTGAATATTACAGTTTGCCTCGTGTGTTCTCTTATACGAGTGCATAATTATACAAATATGGATAGGAGATATCCCGATCTATGCATATCGCATTCTCCAAGGAACTGTCATGATCTTTTCAAAAAAGCGAAGTTACCCCCACAATTGTGATCAGCTATTGTCAGTATTCGCGTTCGCCAACATGTGCTGTCTCATGAAATCCCGGATTATGAGCTCTTCCTATTAATATATATAATTCGTATCATTGAGAGGCACCCAACCGCACCGTTGCTAATTGACACCTAAACTATAATCAAAGGGACGGCGGCCAAGCCCATTTTTCAACGCTATCGAGGAACGATGACACCTCGCCACACACCCAGCCACACACACAGACATATGTTCATATGCCATTATGGTGGTGGCTAAAAGTCCCAGTAAATTTGCTGCAGAAAAATGTGGAAAAACAACCAAAAAAAAAAAAGAAAAGTGGACTCACTCTACGTATCCATATCATGGCGTAAAATTGCATAGAAAAGGCATTTTAATAGTTTCGCATTTTGCAGTTATCATTCGGTTATAAATGTCAACCCCGAAATAAACCCGAGGGTTGTTGATGCTTCGAGGTAAGGATTCGCCTACGTATACGAGTTCAAGCGTAATATCAAATTAAAATTTTCCACTTAGTTTAATTTGTTAGGCCTTGATTAATGGCATTTTCATAGCTCCCAACTGAAGTCTTTTGTAGTCCTGTAACATTAGCCTTATCATCTTGAAATTTGTCTGAACAATTGAAAACAGTCGCACTCGTCTGCGTCACCCTATCACGATCGAAAACCCGCTTCATTTATAAAAATCTCGATATAAAAAACGATTCGCCGTGCAGCAATTGGCACTCTAGATCTGCATAAATAGCAATAGTAATAATAACTGACATGTCTAATTGGAGCGTTCTAGCTCTAAGGCCGTTTTACTAGATTCGCCAACACGCCCAATAGGCGTAGATATACAAACGAGGATATAATATAAACTTTAAAACTCTAGCATCATTAGAGATCAGAACCAATTATATTAAAATGGAAAAGCCTAGCGTATTTGATTTTAAATAGGAATACTTCAACGAATACAATAAAATTGGTACACGCGCTAGCATTACAAAGCATATTAGAAAAAACAATTAGTAAAAAAATGTATGAGTTATAATTGTAATAGTATATATATATATTATATTTATATTTGATATCACAGGAGAGCACCAATCAGTTGTTTCCCATCTTGGAAACTATATTTCTATATTTTTTCAGTTTATTTCGATAATCTCCTGTGAGATAGTTCACAATCAGATAACCATCGATTTAGTTTCCTAATTGGGTTGGATTGCTGATCCAATATATTCTGATGCGAGATTAAAAAATGAAGGGTGCCAAGGAGATAGTCAATTCTTTCAAGGCTGTTTTAATAGTACATATGCTAATAAATACCAGATGCTGAGTCCAGAAAACTAATATCCAAAAATTAGAAGTAGATACAAATACATACACTTATGAGCCGAGGGAAGCTGATGAAAAGTTGTAGGAATTTAAAATTTTTAGTTTAGTTTGCCTATTATGCATATTGTTTTTGATGAATTAATTTTTCTACTATAAATTTATAAATACACTAAAAGTCTAGTGCCAAATAAGTCAAGGGAGAATCCAGTTGGCCCCAACTATATTTCGTAGGTTTTAATATTTTGGTAACTTTGAAATTGGATTAAAGATTTGCAATGTCCTTAAAAACAATTTTTTTTTAATTTAGATGAATCAAAATCAAGAATCGAAGAGAGACTGAACATTGTTTAAAATATAGCTCAAGGTCTAAAGCTATTAAATATCTATTTAGCTGAGTCTAAGTCTAACCTTATGCAATGTTTATCAATTGGCAGAGATAAATTAGCTTGTGTTCATACGGGCAGGCTGACAAACAGCGAGCTGTCATATTAGCTACTATAAGCTGTTCGCATATATGCATAATCCCACGGATTATTCGCCTTTCAAATGGACAAAACAATTAACCAATAATAATAATACGCTAAAGAAGGGAAATTGGCTCGAAAGCAGTTGACACCGGGGCATACAAGGAGCAGGTTGCAAGGAAAAGAGCAAATGGCATCAAGCCAACAAACTGGTCCAGCTCCACACATAATACTAATCGGGTATTTCCGTTCTGTAAGTCTATGTTAACTCATTTAAATAATTGTGCCACAAACGATTTTACTACAATAGCACAATGCGGTGTAAAATATGGAAAATGCGAATGCATTTCCTAACAGACACGAAAGTGTGGCCGGAAATTAATACACAAGAACAGAAGCTCATTATACGCTTGCCTACACACACACATGCGCACGCACACACACACGCATTGTGCCTAGGTATACCTGCAACTGAGGATATATATTTGAGATTTAGCTAGCTAGCGGCAACGTATGTTCTCTTGGATGGGTTGAATTTTATTTTCAAAATGTTATCAAAATTCTGAGCGAGGTGCTTGTTAAATAAAGATTTCACTGTATACAAATTTATTATATTGCTAGTCTCTTACAATAAGTTGAAACCCAATTATTTATCGATTGTAAAGAAATTAGGTCTCGATGTCACTCATTAAATTATTCAATGTTTTATGTGTATAAAATAATAATATATCTAAAAATTATAAATATTAAATTATAAATATTCGGGTTCCATTACTAGATTCTAAATGAAAAAAATTGTGTTCGAAGTCTCGAAAAACCTAAACAATTGCTAACTATCAAAGACCTTCAAATAGGAAGAGATTAAATAGGTATCCTTCAACTTTCCTTAACATCTGCTTAAAAGAGCAATTAGGCATCGGCTCATAATCATAAAAAGGGCTCAGAATAAAAATTGCTTCTAAAGTAGAGACTCCAAGCTCTGGACTGATGCAGCTAGTCAAAATATAATTTATTGGATTCCCGCTTTCCATTGTTTAGGCATTTTCAATGTAAACAGAACATTATTGATCTTGGATTGAAGCTTGTATTGCGCAATTGCAACCAGTAATAGAGCAAATGGTGAGAAAGGGCTGAAACACTTGTTGGCCGTGTTCTTGCACATGGGAAGCATTCGCCGATAATCCGCTCATGAAACGTCAATAGAGCTCGTCTGGTTGTCTGCCTGTCTGTCTGTCTGTCTGTCTGTCAACATGTTTACAAAGCATCAAGCTGTAGTTCAGCCAGACAGCGCGAGCCGGCGGCTAGAAATTAATCAACAATACAATGGAAATTGTGCGGCTGCTAGAATGCCATTCGGTAGCAGTGTTAGCTTTTCATTGTGTCCAGTTGCTCCTAGTTCTATATCAATTTGTTATATAACCCCGAGGCCACACACAT